CGGCCTTCCCCTTAGAACAATACCCAGATTGGTTCAAAATAGTGACACCAATCAATGTGGATAAGTTTGAAGCCTTACTAACTAAGCATCCAAATCGGCCTTTTGTGGATTCCGTGTTAAAAGGCCTTTGTAAAGGCTTTTGGCCGAGACCATCTTCACCCAACGCTGATATAATTGAAGGACCAAATCGTATTTCTTCACCTGAAAATCAAGCTCTATCAGAATCCCAGTGTCAAGAGGAAATAGATAAAGGAAGATTTTCAAAAGAATTTGCGACCTTATTAGAAGGCATGAAGGTGCTCCCATTACTCATGGTAATTAAGAAGAATTCAACCAAAATGTGTGTCTGCTCAAATATGAGCGCAGGTTGCCCTTCCCCAAACAATCTCGTCAAAAAAGAAGACATTCCTCTTGCGTTTGATAATTTGAAAACATGGATTCCCTTTTTAATAGATATGAAGAGTGAGATATTCAAGTCCTAGCTACCGGGTGGGCGCCCTAGGGGCGCTGGGATCATATGAAAAATACAGTTTTTAGCGCGGGACCGTATAATTTGGCTGCCCTTTGCCTGACGCCCTCCAAAACCATACGGTCTCGGGGCCCCAGGTTGCTTTTCCAAAAGAAAAAGCGACCAGGAGACTCACTTTTTCAGTGAGAACATGCAAACTTGACCTGTCCAAGCCAGCCAAATGCGGTGAATATATGTTAAATCACCTTGTTTATTGCCTGGAGGTCGCTTTTCCAGGAGAAAAGGTGACCTGCAGGACCTATGTAGGGGCCATTTGCTCAGATTTGGACAAAGTACACCACTCAGAGGTGGCAGATACACCTCATGACAGTCAAAATTATGCCTGGAGGTCGCTTTTTCAGGGGGAAAAGTGACCACCAGCACCTGTTTTGAGCCCATGTGGATGTATTTCAGTAGCATATGGGATCCCAAAGTGCAATATAAGTGTCCTGTGAGGGCATTTACTGCTGCAAAGTCACTTTTTCAGTGTCAAAAGCGACCACAACCAGGTTTGACGGGCCAAGAAGGTTGCATTTTGACTACATATGCAACCCTGGGTATTTCAACCAGGCCTAGTGGACTGGGCAGGCTGGCTCAGCGCCTTCAATGGTTGCATGAGAAAGCTGGATTGCAACCAACCGGAGCACATTTCATAGGGCGACAGCAGTATCTTGACAGTTATGCAACCATAAATAGATGTGAGGCGCTGATACCATGTGTAGACACCCGCCCGCTGAGCAAATTCACTGAAAGTCAATGACCAAGCTACTTATGGGTTGCATTTGACCTGCTGATGCAACCACAGAAAGGCAGTAAAACTGTGACGGTCGCATCAAGTGACAAAATGCAACCACCAAAAGGCAGTAAAACTGCTGATGGTTGCATGCAGTGACAAAATGCAACCTCCGAAGAGCAGTACACTTGTTGACAGTTGCATTTAGTGACGAAATGCAACCACGGAAAGGGAGCAACACAGTTGGTAGTTGCATCAAGTGACAAAATGCAACCGCAGAAAGGGAGTACCACCAGGTACGGTTGCATCCAGTGATAAAATGCAACCATGGAAAGGAAGTACCACTGTTGACGGTTGCATCCAGTGGTGAAATGCAACCCTGGAAAATGAGTCCCACTGTTGACGGTCGCATCTAGTAACAAGATGCAACCACCAAAAGGCAGTACAACTGTTGATGGTAGCATCCAGTCACAAAATGCAACCATCAAGATGGCCGGGCGAGGTTGGCTGCGCGCTGGATTGACTCAAAGGCCTCAAAACACATGTATAACATGCTGTGACTATGGAAGATTGCTTTAATTGCCCAATACAAATCACAACGTCTAAATTGTTGTCAACAACACAATTTGCTGCAACAACAAAAAACTACCTCTGCCAACCTCGAACCATTCATTTGATACAGTAGCATGCATAAAGCATGAAAAAATCTCAAAACCAAACTGACCTGCTGGTCCGTGCCCTCTGCAAAGTTTGGCAAAACTGGACCGCCAAATCTCGCCAAACTTCGGAAAAACATGCCAGAGCAACTACCGTGATCTTTGCATGGGTTCACGAAGGATCCCAAAAACTTCCACCCCCCCTCCGATCCAGATCTCATTCCCCCATCCAATCACCTTGCTCCTATCCTCATCCATTATCAACCTTTTTGCTCGAATGGGTCATCAATCCTACTCAGCGGATATCAAACTGCTGGCTGTCAAGATGGCCATGGATGATATTGATCTCAAGACAATCAACCTGACCCTTCGAGCATCGATCTCCGCCACTTCCCTTTGGCGCTGGAGAAAGCTCTACGATCAAACACGCAAGGTTATCCGTGATCCTAGCAAATACCAGCCTCGTGGCCGACCCCATTGACTGTCAGATGAACATCTTGCCGTACTTAACAAATTGGTTACCGACTGCCCCTCCATCTACCTCAATGAATTGCAAAAACAGCTTGAACGAATAATTGGCATACCTGTCTCCCAATCAACCATTGGCCGCGAGTTGCACAACCGCTTAGGACTCTCGCATCTTATCACTCGGGGTGTTCATGCTGCGCAGTCAAAGGAGGCTTGAACTGCTTACATGCTAAGAGTTGGTCGCATTCCACCCGAGTATATGGTCTTTATTGGTAAGTTGTTTTTGTTTAAATAGCTTCTATGTCACTTCTCATCTTCATCGTTTCTAATCTTGGATCGTATCTTGTTTTTCATTTGGAAGATGAGTCTGGAGTCGTCGGGCGTGACTCTCTTCGAATGAAGAGCTGGGCCCCGACAGGCTCTCACACGGTTTGCCAGAAGCGCCACACCGAGCAAGACCACTACACAATTCTCCCTGCTGTATGTGAGCGAGGAATGATTGCAGGAAGTGTCGTCAAAGGCCCTGTGGAAAGAACACATGTTGAACTATTCCTTGCACGCAAACTAGTGAGTTTTCTTCCATCATGGGCCCTATTGGGGTCTGATTTCAATAACATTAGACGTGCTAATCGCAGTGTTATGTCTGCCATTGTAGCTCCCTCGTATGAACCCCTACCCCGCGGTTAACTCGGTCCTGGTGATGGACAACGCCCGGATACACCCCGGAGGACGAATTGAGCAGATGTGCAAGGATGCTGGTGTTATTTTAGTCTACTTACCCGCGTATTCACCTGACATGAACCCCATCGAGAATGCCTTCCACAGAATGAAGGCACAGTTACGGCAAGAAGAGCTTTGGTTTGACGTCCCTGATAAGGGAGATTATCTTCTTTTAACAGCCGCGAAACTTATGAACCGGAGTTTATTACAACCACTGATTGCTTTTAGTGGTTATTCCACCGCTCGTTATTGGGAACGATATAATGAAGAAGCTGCAGAATAAGTCACAAAAGAAATCTAATCGCTTTGTTCATGTTGTCCTTGTTTTGTTTGTTATTTGTGAGCGTGCATAAAGTTTCCTTAAACTTTGTCCTTCAGAAGTTGTCACCTATGTTTTAAACAGCTTGTTTTGAAAAGCTTGCATGCATGCTTTTTACCTAGTTTGTCGGAACAATGTGATAAAAGCTTTTCAAAACAAGCTCATTGTGATTAATCATTCACACTTTTTGAACTGTGAGCTTTGCAAAAGAGCTGTCTTTCCAAGCAGCCTCTTTTGAGATCCACTTAAAAAATTGACCCAAATACTTGATTTGAAAACAAATTGTGCTCATGTGAGTACAACTATTTTTGTGCTGGTTTTTTTGATCAACCTACAAAGGCCGTTTTCTCACACGACAAGAAAGATAATATTTTCTGGGCAGAAAATTAAATTATTGATACACAAAAATATTGAGAGGCCAGGAGGAGAGCAAAAAATGAATAAAAATATGCATCTTGTTCCCTGCGTTGAGAACTTCACTCTGCATATTTTTCCATATGTTTACAGTCCATATTGATAAGTGTACTAACAATAAACCTTCACAATCATCCAATTACAACCTGTAACAAGCACTGAAATTTGGCTCATTAGTGTTTGGAGAAACTTTTGATTTCTGAAAATACTCATAACTTTTTCAATTCCGGTCCAAAACGATCGATTTTGGGTGCATTGGTAAGCTGGAATTATCCTCCAAATAGTTCATAATAGGACCACACAGCATGCTGGTCTGCTAAAAAAGATATCATCTTTTTTATACATTTGTACATACAGATCCATAGAATGATTGTCATACTAGCTACATAGTTCTTGATCTTATGAAAGTTTGAGAGGAAGAGTTCAGCTTTCTAATGCACTTAAAATCGAGTGTTTTGAGGCAGCTTTGACAAGGTTATAGGTGTTTTCAGAAATCAAAAGTTTCTCTAAACACTAATGAGCCAAATTTCAGTGCTTGTTACAGGTTGTAATTGGATGGTTATGAAGGTTTATTGTTAGTACACTTATCAATACGGACTGTAAAAATATGGAAAAATATGGAGAGTGAAGCTCTCACCGCAGGGAACAAGATGCATATTTTTAATTATTTTTTGCCCTTCTCCTGGCCTCTCAATATTTTTGTGTATCAATAATTTAATTTTCTGCCCAGAAAATATTATATTTCGTGTAGTGTCAAGATCTCAATCCGTTTTGAGTATTTTCTTAAAACGTTTTTGGTAAAATTGGGTAGATCAAAACCAATGAATTCCACAAACTCTCAAAAGTGGGCTTTGGATTCTTTCAAAGGACCTCAAATTTTGAAGTTGATCAAAGTGGCTCTGTGCAACTGTTAAAGATTCATGAGACAGTTCATTTATTCTTTCATAGGAGTGGGGATGGGAAAATTCAAAAGCACACATTTTGGCTATGGCTAGACAATAAACGTGAAGGCGTACATATCTTGATGAGATGGACATTGGTTATCATGAACATAAGATGAGAGAAACTCGTGAATGGGGAGATGCAGGACACAAGAGAAACTTCAAATCCACACAAACATGAAATTCGCATCAACAAAGAATAAAGAGAGCAAACTAGTCCTGAACAATCTTAGTCGATGATTCACATTTCGGCGTGGTCTCCGTGGGCTTCAGCTGAGGCATCACGAGCAGCTCGGCGATTCATGAGCTCTTCTAACTTGTTGACTTGATAAGAGTAGTATTCACGAGGTCGAGTCATTAACTCCATCACCACCCCGTATGGAATACCCCAACTAGCAATGGTTTGGGCGCTCAGCACGGAAGGGAATAAAAAACAATGAAAGCTGGTAATTGAATGCTTGAAGAAGATCTGCACATAATCACCAATCTTGAGGTAATTGATTTTGCACCAGGTCAAGTACTGTTGCAACATTGAATGGACTTCGATGTGTCGTAAAGTTTTGAAATCAACTCGGACGGTGGAGGATTGCATTTCCACATAGCTGCCAAACTCGAACTCAGAGGGGCGACAGTCCTCTTCAACTTTGAGTCTTTTGGCCACCGAAGGCGTGGCCGTGAGAGAAGGGCGCTTGACCGGCTTGACATCAATCCAGAAAAATTCTTCCAATTCCGTAGGTGGGTCATCGATGGTCACGTCCTTTGTACCTTTGACCTATCACAAGGAGACAGATTAGCAAGGTTACAAATGGAATATAAGAATAAAAGGAAATAGATGACGTACCAATTCTCGAGCCCACAGGATCAAATGGTGGAAGGTTAATTCCATCTTCAAGGTCAAGTCCCTTCTGTTAAAATACGCCATCCTTCAGCCTTGTTATTTTTCAATGAGCCATGATGCTCTTGTAACGCTGTTAGCCAGCGTGATTGAGGATCCACCGGAGTTGCATGGGCAAGGTCCGAGGCTGTGGTGCCAACATTATTGAGGGTGTTCTGTGCTCGCAATCGGGCTTGATTTTTCGTGAGTTCCTGCAAAAAAAACCCGGGAGAATTAGTCCAGCTAGAAGGGAGAGGTTGGAGGTGAGGAGAAAATTGGATTTCACTAATAAACATACATCATTGGCCTCTTGAGCACTGCGTGCTGGGTTCTCCATCATGATGACAAACCCAGCGTTCTTGCCTGGAGCCCCAACAACCGATTGAAAGAAAGAGGTGACATCAACATCATACTCGATGTGACGGTCTTGGTTTTTGGCCCAGGTGTCGTGGGCAGTGATAAACGCAAGAATCTTGACTTGTTTCATCGCATCAGCGGTTTGGAGAATCGCTGTGTTGCCTTTGGTCGGGTCGTTATCGATTTCACTGGCCAAGTCGAATAATCGTGCTTTCAAGCGAGCTAGGGAGGTTTCACGGACATCGAAAGGTTTTTTGGTCGCAGGTATGGGAATGGTAGAATACACCGGCTTGGCATTCTTCTTAGCAGGACCCTTGCTGATATCCGTGCCTTTGAGCAGGCATAAGGAATACGCAACGCTGAGCTGTTGCGTACTAGGAACTTGAGCCCCTATGCCAATCAAAACTATACAGATGAACAATTGGTCAACTTGCAAGGGTGACCAAATCACGGAGGGAAGGGAAACAAACAAACCTGGTTTTTTATCAGACAAAGGCACACGAGGGAAGGTCGACGATATGATTTCAATGTCAGAACTTTCTGCAGGGCTGGGATCTCGGGGCTCAGGTGGGCCAAAGACATCATTCGCAAGGGGTAGCAATGGGCTGCGAACTCCAACGGATCCAGTCGCCTCGGTCTCTGGGACAGGACTCTCAGCGGGAGCAGCCAAGGCACTATGTCTACCACTAAGGTGAGAGGTAAGGTGCACGAGTGAGACTGATGAAGGATGTTCAGGACATCAAAGTGAAAAATGAGCTCACCTTCGAGTGCTAGGGTAAGGACGCACGCCAATGGAGGTGTCATCCATGTTGATTTGAGCTTGGGAAAGGTTTTGCATAATGAGTCGAGAGTAAACAAAGCGAAAGGGGTCAAGTGTAGGCTGAAAGGAGACGATGTGACAATGATCTGATCGAAACGACGGATGTGTGGTGCGATGGATTCCGGAAATGGGTTCGATCAAGGCTGGGAGGTCATTGATAATGATGAAAGGCCGAGTTGTGGTTGAAGTCATGGCCGGTAAGGTTGTTTGGAAGGACGCTGAGGCTATCGAGCACTGCTGCTCTAGTCGGAAACGGCTGATGCTGGGTGAGGGTTGTGGTGTGAGATTTGGCACCACTTGGATGGAGTTGAGGTTGGGTGGGAAAGAGTGTATCTTGGGGCTGGGGTTCATGACGCCTGTATGCAAAGATCACGGTAGTTGCTCTGGCATGTTTTTCCGAAGTTTGGCGAGATTTGTCGGTCCAGTTTTGCCAAACTTTGCAGAGGGCACGGACCAGAAGGTCAGTTTGGTTTTGAGATTTTTTCATGCTTTATGCATGCTACTGTACAAAGAAAAAGAGCATGACGTCAGGGTTTTTTAAAACCATGGAAATACCAAATTGCAACAATGTCAAGCTAAAAGATACAGATTGTGATTCCTCAGAGGTCAAGGAGAGATAGATGCCCAATGACGGACATGCAAACTATAACCAAACTATGCTCTCACTTCACTGCCCAAATCACTCACAAAGAACATTGAATCACAACAGCCACAAGTCCCCAAATGTTGTTCACAAGGACACACTCAGAAAAGTACAACCAATATGTATAAATCTAGTAAGCCTGTCAACTTGATTATGACCCAAGCTATACGCCACTATGCACACCCTTCTATTCCACCCACGGTCAACTGACCTGGACCTTGACATCAAACTGAAGACAACACCCCAATAGGAAGACAACACCAAGGAGCAAACAAGTCAACAAGCAAGCACCCTCTAGGTAATGTGACCCAAATGAAGTCCACCCAGTACCCCAACATGAACAAAACAACAACTGCAAAGCTGTAAAGTGACTCGCTCTCTTTCCCAAATACGGTAACAGAGTGCAAGGTGCCAATGATACAAAGATGTACAGTAACA